TTTGGAGATATGCCCGCTGCTTATCTGAAAAGTTTGTGTTCGGTTTGTGTATAGGCAAAGCCCAACCTTGCGGAAGAGAACTCGTTTCATCATGGATTACTTCCGTTAACTTCATATCAATAGACATTAATCGTTGATTTCCGACTTCTTCTAGCTTCGAATGATACATTTTCATAGCTGTATCTTTCAATGAAAGGTTTTCAACTGTACATCAATGTTTACCAATGAGTATATGATTGATATAGTTTCCAAATTTGACAAATTCTGCAATGCAACTCTGCTCAACATCGCATTCATATATTGGGTTGGTAAGAAAATTTTTGTCGTGTTGTTTTGAAAATTTTATTTTTATTTTTTAATATCAAGAATACAACTAGCTTTCAACAATGTATGCTCCATTACTATCTATGACTTGTTGCCAACGCTCTGGTAGAGAAAGGATCCCGCGTTCGTAGAAGTCCTACGACTTTTGGCCAAAAAAGTTGAGGAGGTCCATTTCCAGGTCGTTTTCGTCGTCGAACTTTTTCTCCTTCAAATGGTTAGAAAGAGAACGGAACATATGGTAGTCCGTAGGAGCCAAGTCTGGAGAATAAGATGGATGTGGAACCGTATCCCATCGGAGCTCCAATAATTTTTCACGCGTCAATTTTGCAATATGGGGTCTGGCATTGTCATGCAAAAAATAAATTTTATCCTGCTTTCCCTGAAGTTTTGCTGCAACCTGGTCTAATTGCTGGCACTAGAGATCAGCAGTGATAGTGCAATTAGTTGGAAGAAGTTCCCAATGAATAATCCCTCTTACTCCCATACCAAACGCTCAGCATAATCTTCTTTTGGTTAAGGTCATCTTTGGCTGTTGCTACACCTTTTTGTCCAGCTTCCAGCCACTGTCGCTTGCGCGTGTGGTTAACATACAACACCCACTTTTCATTGTCGGTAATAAGATTGTAAAGCCATTGGTAGTTGCGATGAGACGTCATTAATTCCATACAAGCATCAACTCTGTGTTGGAGCTAATGTGGTGACAAATCATGTGGTATCCAAACTCCATATTTCTACGTTTTGCGTAATTCGTGCAGATGTGTTTCCACTGTAATATGAGAGCACCCAAGGCGCTCTGCTAAACACCGTGTAGTCAATCTAGAATCTTCTTTGATAAGCTCCTTTAAGAGATTCATATCCACCTCTAGTGATCTTCCAGTATGAGGTAAATCGTCGAGTTCGACGTTACCGTTCTTGAACCGATTGAACCAACGTTGCGCTGTATGAATGGAGAGCGCATCCTTGTCCATCGTATGGCATATGTTGCTTGTTGTTTCTGTTATTTTGTGACCCAAACGGAATTAATGAAGCAGAAGCATTCGGAGCTCTCTACGAGATATCTTCATTTCTAATTCGAGATCAGCATGTATATCCATAGTTTTATTGTTGTTCGAAAGATATTTGCACTCCCTTTATATACCATTAGTATGGAAACTTCTAGAACTTTCTTGACTGTTCTAGAAAGTTACGAAAAAAGTGACGAAAATTTCTTACCAACCCAATATATTCTTTTGCTTATTACAGTTTTGTAATGATTCATCCTCTTGTGCATCACAGTCGTCGACATCCATAACTTCATCACGATGTCGCTCTGTTGTCTCTACCCATTCATGAACATATCCTTCTGTTTTACTAGATATTAGATTGAAAAATGGGTTGATCACGATTCAACTGTGAATACGGTATCAAGAGACCGGAACCGATGTTTCATGAGCGATGTACTAAAAGACCTTGACTTTGATACTCGAAATTATAATAGTTCGCTATCTGCTTGATCGTACACTTCTTACTTTTTTTCAATTCATTATTTTCAATTCGACAGTCAAGTGCAAAAACACCTTTGACTCCTTTATGAGAATGACATGCTTCGACAAACTCAGAAGCAGTTGTCACATTATGGTTTTCATTCAAATATCTATGAACATTTGACTTGATAACGGCAGCATAACGATCACAAGTACCTTTGCCGCCCTGTGGATCACAAAAGTCAATTCGTTTGATTGTGATACCTGTCTTATCTGATAGATTTTTGACATAGACAAGTGTGTTTGCCGAATGATAACAACCTGCGTTATCTGATCTTATAAATGCATGTTTAATTTGTGTATCAGTTTCTTTGACACGGTGTAAAACGTCACTCAAGATGGTAACGACTGCGTCGCTGTTCTGTGTGCACTGATCAAAAGCATGTACAAAAACTTTATCCTTGAAAGAGTGTTTCTCTTTCTTATCAATGACAATAGTATCGTCACTGTTTTCGTCAGACAAATCAGTCATTTCCTGCTCATTGATTTGCTGACTATCATCTAAGACATCAGTGTCTCCATCGAAGGTGTTATTCTCGTCTTTAACACTTGCATCAGTTTTCATTACTGCAGTAATATGCCAACTGATGCCTCGTTTACCGAAAAACTCCGTCTGTGGTTCTCGACTTTTAACAGGAAGAAACTTCATGGCCCAATCAAGATTGAGATAAATCTCGTTATTGGATAGATTATCGAGTAAACTTTCTCGACACAAGTCCTGATTGATAGACCGTAGTAAGTGAGCTTTCCATGCTTCAATAGATTTACGATATGATCGGAATTTTTTCATTGCTCGGTTCAATAACTCTTCGTTCATTTCTGATACCTCAAACAATCGTTCAATTTCATTTAGTGTGCTCGTTAGATTGGAACACTCAATGCACGATTCATCGTGCTCATGGTCACACTCTTGAGCGAAATTTAGCCCTTTTGGATCGCTTAATGCATAAACACAGCAATGATCAGCAACACCGCTCGATCTCATTACGTGCACTTTATAATCAGATTTCAAATAAAATCGAGCACGTTTCAAATTCTCAACAAGACCTTCACTATCACTACAAAGAATAACTTTATCTTCAATCATTTTTCGTAAGCCATCAAATGCTTCTCCAGCTACAGCTGCAAAGTAATTGATACCTTGTAAAGATTTTCTTGTCGATGCTTTAAAAGTACCGAGAATATTAAATAAACTACTTTTACCTAGTGGTTCAAAATCTGAACACATCTCTTTGCAATACAGAAGATACTGATCGATAATATGAGTTGGCCCCATATTTCTTATCGTATTTGGAATGAACAATTCAATTCCAGACGACAACTTTAATACTTTCTCACCAAAGAGTAAATCTGTACACACGTGAGGTGAAACAATAAAATCAACAAAATGAGCGATTTGATTATCATCAAACCGTTG